AGGCACAATGCATCCTGGGTATTAACAGTTGTGTGATTTAAAATAAACCAAAACCAAAAAAATGCAAAAAAATTGTCTTGCAAAGCATGGCCATAGAAAAATTTGTCTTGAGAGTCACCAAAAATTGCAAAATACTTTCGTCTTGCGAGTTTTTCATTGCGCAAGGCGTTCGTCTTGTGAGGCATCACTGTATTAACAATAAATTAACTTATGAAATGAAAGTTAGAAAAGGATTATTGAAAGAAAATAGTTTTAATGGGATCTGGAACCCTTATATAGAAGACATATTTACAAAACAGAACACAAGAATCATATTTTTGGAGAGAGATGGGGCACATGATAAAAATTAAGAGGAAATATTGATTAGAATATATATTTTGCCAATGATAGTGGATACTTTATATTTGTGATTGTATTTGTCATTTATGTTTTTGTTACATTGTTAAAAAGGGGGGAAAGTGAGTTCATGAGATGATTCAATTGCTCTACTGTTTGAATTTATAGTGTAGTTGGAAGTTTGCCAGTCATACTTAACAAACATTTACATCATGCTTTTCAAGAACTGAATGTATTTTTTTATGATTTCAGCTGAGGAAGGCCTATTTTAAAACTATTGCTGGAGCAAAATACTGAATGTATTTTACAAAATTACATGAAATGTTCGACTGCTTGATAACTGTTGTACTAAATTTGCAGGATACCCAAACTCTGATTATATGAAGCCAGAATATCAGTAAAAAGTGTACGCTAGAGTCTTCTTTTGGCATATGAGGATTTTGTTGTTGCTATTTCTTTATGATTTGGGAGTGGGGAAATGGGAGCTTCAAAACGTTCAGTACCATACCAGCAGTATCAAAGTATTGACCAGCAGGAGAGTTTGTGTATTTAAATGAAACTCTCACGCAGTTAACAAAAACATGTGAAACAATAAAATCGTTAAAATCATCCATAAAAACAAATTGAGGCAGTGCAACAATTAATAATCAAGTGTACTATATAACAATTTAGAAGGCTACTATGACAAAAAGCGTCTTCATATTCTTTCTAGTCGGAAGAATAGGAACTCATTACAAGTCTGATTTTGCATGAATATAAATGTACTAAAAGTTAGTCAAAACAGTGGTATTCATTAGTTTCAAATCTGTGCCATTTCTACATTCAAGACAGCTTGCAATATTTTTTAACCATATAAGCACACGTATCAATGTTAATACTGTTAATTCCCAGATGGTATACTGGCATGTTGATCTGACAATTACGTCAGCAAGTACTAGCTAGTATGTCTTCTTGACCACTAACAAAGGTAGTTGATCTTGCTTTAAAGGACAATATATAATAGGACACGCACGCTGATAGACTTAATACTGCTTGGAAATCTTGAAGGCTATTCCTCTGTGAATTTGCCTTTGGATGAGCTGATGAGTCTTATCTAGTTCTTGCGGCCATCCCAGGGAGACAGTTGTCTTGGAATGCTGCTTTTGATTTGCTATGGGAATGTAAAGTCTTATAGCTGGTTTCATTTATTGGGAGCATGAAAACATGTTGAGTCCTTGATATATATATAAACATTTTCCCTATGAACCTTGGTAAGCTGGATGTGGTCAAACAGGAGATGAGAAGAATAAAAATTGACATCCTCGGCGTCAGTGAACTAAAATGGACGGGAATGGGCAAATTCAGTTCAGATGATTATCATATCTACTACAGTGGTGCCCTGATAGACAGTTACCCCGCATGACAGTTTTTCCACTAGACATTGACTTTTTGTGATCGCTATAGTGATTCGCAAAACAGTGATTCCTATGGGGGAATTTCTCTGGACAATGTTTGGTCCCTGCTTCGCAAACCAATTTTCGCTAGACAACGATTTTGACAGCTCCCTCAGTGCTTGCAAAATGGGTGTTTTCGGGACCTAATCTTCGCAAGACAGCTATTTAAACAGCTGATCGGCGGTTCGCAAAGCCGCTTTCCTATGGCCGATGTTGTCTAGACAACAACGATTCTTCCCTATTGGAACGCATTGAACAGGTTTCAATGCATTCCAATAGGGAAATGCTTTTCGCTAGACAATGATTTCGCTAAACAGCTAATTCAGTGGAACGGATTATCATCGTCTAGTAAGGCACCACTGTATTGTGGGCAAGAATCCCATAGAAAGAATGGAGTAGCCCTCATAGTCAACAAAAGAGTGGAAAAAGCTGTAATGGGATACCATCTCAAAAATGATAGAATGATTTCAATACGAATCCAAGGCAGACCTTTCAACATCACAGTAATCCAAGTTTATGCACCAACCCTCAATGCTGAAGAGGCTGAAATTGACCAATTCAATGAAGATCTACAACACCTAGAACTGACAGCAAAAAAAGATGTGGCTGTCCATCGAGGCCTTACAAATAGCAGAGAAGAGAACTGAAACAAAATGCAAGGGAGATGGGGGAAAGTTACAGAAATGGAATGCAGACTTCCAAAGAATAGCAAGGAAAGACAAGACAGCCTTCTTAAATGAACAGTTCAAAGAAATAGAGGAAAAAGAATAGAAAAGGAAAAACCAGAGATCAGTTCAAGAAAACTGGAGATATTAGAGGAACATTTTGTGCAAAGATGGACATGATAAAGGCCAAATATGGTAGGGACCTTACAGAAGTAGAAGACATCAATAAGTGGTGGCAAGAATGCACAGAGGAATTGTACCAGAAAGATCTTGATGTGCATCCTGGAGAATGAAGTCAAGTGGGCCTTAGAAAGCATGGCCACCAACAAGGCCAGTGGAGGTGATGCCATTCCAGTTGAAGTATTTAAAATCTTAAAACATGATGCTGTTAATGTGCTACACTCAGTATGCCTGGAAGTTTGGAAAACTCAGAAATGGCCAGAGGATTGGAAAAGATCAGTCTACATCCCAATCCAAAGAAGGGCAGTGCCATATATATTTTGTTTCTCTAAATATGTTCCTTAGAATCAACAGTTTCTAATGTTATATTCATCATGAACATTTCAGATTGCATAGTTGGAAATTCTTAATTGCCATTTGACTCCTACATAGTCGAAATTACTTAAAGTATATAAATCACATCAATTTTATGTATATATGTGTGCCCCTCAATCTATAATTTTTGTTGTTATATTCAGCAAATAACATTCCCCTTTTTATATTTTATAAATCTTAACTCCATTGCACGGGCCAGGAATTCCAAATCACTTATAAAATTATAAACCTCAAGTTACATTCTTATAATTCATATTATGTTTCTCTAAGTAAAAGCTTTACAGTCAGCAACTTCTAATGTTGTATTCATCATAGACATTTCAAATTATATAGTTAAAAATTCTCAATTCCATAATTTCTATTGTTATATTCATCAAGTAACATTCCCCCCTTTTTAGTTTATAAATCTTAACTCTATGCACGGGCCAGGGATTCCAGATCTCTTATAGCATTATTAACCTAAAGTTAAATTGCATCTTTTTTACTAGTTTAAAATGCCATCTGTAGAACTCTTTTAGACTATTTTCTCTCTGGTTTGGTGGATTTTTTCCATCAGTCATGTTCTGCCTTTGAAGCCAATCAATGTCTGGTCTGTAATCAGTATTTCGTTTCCCTTTCAGCCTCGCCTTTCCACTTCCCTGTTTTAAATATTCACCCATCAGATTAGAACACATATCTTTTCATCCACCTGCTCATCTCTCTCACAATACAAATTAATTTTTCTGACCCCCTTTTTGAGGGTTTCCCCCTCCTTTCTAGAAACAAATAAAGTCTCTTTCGCTTGTGCTGCTTCCGTTTCGATGCACTGGTCTGGCGTCTCCCAAAGTTCTACCGTTCCCCTCATGTCTGAAATCAATGTCTGAAGTTCAGAGAACTGGATTGTAAGATGGTTCAAAATATTAATTTGCATATTCTGTAAAGCGTTTATCAAGTCTTCTGTTAAATCCATCTTCGTTGAGAAGTTGATGGGCAAAGGATGCTTTCTGGTTTCAAAATATACGTCTCACATACAGAAACATTCCCTATCGTAAAGAGAATAGCCACCAAAGCAGCTTGTTTCCTTCTGCCAGCCGGGAGCCAAAAAGTACTTAAGTAATAAAAGTCAGATCCTCAGTAGAGCTGATGATTTATTATGCTAGCCCAGACTTTAACTTTCACCAGATAGCTTCAATTGTAGATTTAGTCATAATAAAACTTCCATTAGTTTAAAATCCACCTCTCGCAGCATCTCGCCTTCTTAAACATCTTATTTTATATTATGAAAGTTATTCCAACCATCCGAGGACAGGGGATAAAAGGAAAAAGTCTCTGTCTGTGTCTTTATCAGTTTCCAGTTTGTTTCAGGCATGACGTACTAATAACTTACTGATATGTCTGGGTTTAAAGCTTGTTTGCCGCTTCCAAGATTGCACTATCTTCTTTAAAATCAGCCACTTAAGTTTATTTTGTACTTACTGAAGCCATGTTGAGATCAATTAGTCCCTGTTCATGCAGTCATTCGTAAACCTTCATGCTTCCCTCCTGCTCGTGGAGCTTCAAAGCTAAGACGACATTAGAAAATGGCATGGGAGGAATCCTCTGTCTGGAGAAAGGATGATCTGAGGAGTGGTTGCCTTCCACCCACCCCCCAGGAAATTTCAGCTCTCCTACGACTCAGGGTGGCCCCTCCTGGCCCTCCCTTTCCCCCAATTTCTTGGGGGGAGCCTGGATTCACGGCATGCAGCAGAATTCTGGAGAGCCCAGATTTCTTGCTGCCTTGCTGTTTCTAGCTCCGCCCCTCCTCCCAACAAGTTTGTGGAGTAGAAGGATAGAATCCTTTTTAAATAGCATCTGGCAGTGGATAGTGACAGAATAGGATGAGCACTTACCCAGGGATTGGCATGTTTTTTTCCTCCTGGTTTTATGAGTTTGGTGATTGATTTTGTGCTGTAATATTTACACGTATATCAATGAATGTATGCCTTGTTTGTATTGTCATTGTTTCTTAAGCCAATTGTTTTGTTTAAAACAGCTTTACAATGAACTGACTGTCTGTTTTGAGAAACTCAAAGCAAGTGAAATTCAGCTCCGAGAAAATCAAGTTTCTCTCCAGAACCAACTACTTGAAAAAGATAACCATATCTGTCAGCTAGAAGAGCAGATTCAACAGAACCATAATTCTGTATCTTCACTATCCTCTGATATATATCCAACACAGAAAAAAGAGGTAAGAAGGTATGTTGCCAAAAAAAGTATATGGATTCATAAGGAGCTATTCAGCACCAGTTTTTCTATAGTACTTACTAAAAATTACAGATTCTAATACTTCCTACTTGATCTTTGTCAGCAGGAAAGTGGCTTGTGCCTTCCATGAGTTTGTTTTTTTTTCAATGTGCCAATGTTCTTTTTTAAATTTTCCATGAAATTATCAATTCCGTGGAAAAACAGAAGATTCAGAAAATTATGGGTTGGCTCTAGTGGTGGTCTGAGAAAAGCTGCTACCTGATCTATTAGTGTAAAAACCATGGAGTGCTAGTGAAACAACAGGGGTAGCTGATGAGGTGCTACATTTTAAAACCAGCGAGAGATGGACTGGAAGGAGTGGCAACAAGGGGAAAGGAGGTCTGATTGTGTATGGTGAAAAGAAATGAAGGGGAAATAAGATTGTGCTGGTTGGAGAGAGGCTGAAAAGATGGGACAAGATGAAAATTAGGATTGCCTGAAGGATAAAGTTGGCTTATGAGTGAAAAGGAGAGGGCGTCATACTTCTCATTCAAGGGAAGCCTGACCATTTTGCTTTGGAGGGAGGAGGAAGTGGGAAGATAAACTGGCCCAGAGAACTTGTCTGAAGGAGGAGGCATCAATGGTGTAATGAAGACTAGCTTATCTTGTAGCAAATTGAGATATCACATATATTATCCTTGAAAAAAAGGATAATATCTCTGTCCAGAAATATCATCTGGGAGAGCGGAATCTACTAAATGAAGAGTCTGATTAGACCTTCCCATCCTGTACATGTCCTAAGACCATTGGTAACAGGTAAGCTATAGACTTCGTATTCTATCAATATAATATTTGCCACCTATGATCATAGAACCAAACCCATGACAGAAGGGGCAAAAAGTTTACCAGCCTTAAAACTGGGCCTTAAGTGATTGTTTCAGTCATAAAAATTTGCAAGGACTTGCCTTGTTATTTACCCGTTGTTTTTTTTTCTTGCCTTGTAAATACAGTATGTAGCTGAATGAAATACTGTTTTTATAGATTTCACCAGAGATGGAACCACTTACTCTTACACATCATACACTGTTGTAATGGCCAGGAAATCCAGATAAACAAACAAATTTAGCAGACAAGTTAATCAAAAAGTACTCTTACGTCAATTAAGAAAGAGTTTTAGCTCATGTAGATAGAAGGCATTTTTGGGAAAAAATGTGTGATACAGATCATGGAGAAGGAGGGACAATAATAAGGTGTCCTTTCCCTTTATCTCTCAAACAGGAGAGAATTCTTTTCTGGGGTCACAAAAGGTAGTTTTTTTTCCAAGATGGTGACGGTGGTGGGCGGCTAGCGTTTTTTCGCCGCTCCATTCTCCGCACTGGCTTGTTTCCTTTATTCTTTTATATTTTTTTAAATTATTTTCCCTTATTTTCCCTCTGTTCCTGAGCTACCTTTCCTTCTTACCTGATCAGCCCGCTGGGAGTGAGGACAATTCGAGTCCTGGGGTTTGTTCCTAAGTGTGAGCTAAGAGTGAGTGTCGGGGTGAGCGCGAATGGAGCTGGAGCTCGAAACACGGAGCTGGTGAAGGTTTTCTGTGGAGCTCAGAAGCTCCTTGCTCGACTGGAGGACACCAAGGGAGAGGACCCAGAGCTGGAGACCAGAGAACAATGGAGAGAGAGAGCCTCCCCCGATGGAGGTTGCCCTGCCAAATCGCCGAAAACCCATGAAACCACCTGAAATTGCAGCCAGAGCTTGTAGCCTGGGGATTGTCAAGTCTTCTGCTGCTGTATCTGGCTGTCTGTGAAGCCCAGAAGCATCAGCCGCCAGCGAGGCAGGGCGTTCAATCTTAAGCTCCGAAAGAAAGGCCGCGGGGGAACAGCTGAGGCGACTGTGAGGGAAGAGAGCTTTCTTTAGAGCAGGGGTTTTAAACACAAATTACCTGGGGGCCACTAGAGGCAGAGTCTGGGGGAGGCTGGGCTGCATCAGATTTTCCGTCAAGCAGAGCAAGAGCCCGTGGAAGCTACCCAGGAGTTTCCTTAGCCGACAGACAGGTGGGCTGGCTGGCAGGCTGCAGTTCTGGATGGAGGGTGCAAGAGGGGCTGTCTTGGGAGAGAGCCAGCGTGTGAGGCAAGGCTTTTTTAAATTCTTGACAGCAGAGGATGTGTGGGCGCTTGGGGGGGGCAGGCAAGGTGAGGGCCACAAACTATCATCTGGGGGGCCGCAAATGGCCCCCGGGCCACATGTTTGAGACCCCTGCTTTAGAGGGTTCCAGTCGGCTGGGACGGCAAACAGCCATGTTGGGTCCTCGAAGGACACTACTCTTCCCAAGACTGGTGCTCTCCTTCTGCTCCCTCTGGACTGGCAGCAGTGGTTTTTTACGTGCTTACCAAGGGAGGGAAATGGCAGTGACAGTGTCATCTTTAGTGTGGACCATGGTGTTCCTGATATTTCCTGCCTTCACTATTAAGATCTCTGTGACCTGCCCTGTTGGTAACTTATATTCCAGCGCTTTCACTGTTACCAATATCAATAATAATATCATCAAGTCCAGTAACATTCAAGAGGACGAGGTGGCGTGGCTGGGGACGACAGCTCAGTACTATTTGTGGGGGATAAACACATCTGGATGTTTTTAATAACTGTTTGATTTATATATAATGTATTTTTATAATTTGAATTTTTAGTGGATAATATTGTTATTACTTTGGGCACTTATTTTGTTGTGTAATCTGTTGTAATAATTTAGTTTATTTGTCCTTTCTCTCTCTCTCTCTCTCTCTCTCTCTTCACCCCCCCCTTTGACATGGAATGGAAGTCCTGCCCTCCCAGCGAGGGGCCTATGAACACCTCAGTGATTACGGGTAGAGGGAGATATGGTGTTGGCACAGTACCTACTTGTGTCAGAAGAACGATGAACAGATGTTTGAAGGCTGTTCATTGTTCTGAGACTGTGATCCACCGTCAGTACCAAGGTAGCCAGTCCAGCCAGCCCTCCACTCTGAAATTGGTGCTGGTGAATGCCAGGTCTGTATCGAATAAACTCCAGCTAATTTACGACCTTATTCTGGAGGAGGATGCAGACCTGGCATGCATAACCGAAACGTTGATTGGTGGAGAGGGGGTCCTCCTCTAGCACTCGCCTGTCTGCCCGGTTATGCTGTCCAGCACCAGGGTAGACTGGAGGGACGGGGGGGAGTAGCCATTGTCTATAAATCCACCTTGGAGGTTACTAGGTGCTCCTCAGAGGTAAAGCCGGGGCGAGAGGCCCTCCACGTGTCGATTGGGGTCAGGGATGGTTTTGGGATTTTGCTGGGTTACTGCGCTCCCCACGACCCAGCCATTTCCCTACCAGAGCTGGTGGACTTAGTTTCCGCGGCATTGTTGAGATCCCCGAACCTTCGTGTGGCAAGGTGGAGCATATTGTTCGTGCCGGTAATGCTGCCCCTTACTCGAGCAGCTGAAAGGGGGAATCGTCAACTGGCTTGGGCATCCAGAAAAGGCTACAATCAACAAGGCGAGTGTCACACCTTTCCTTGCATTCTCTTGAACTGCCAGAGATTAGAGACAGTTTGTGATGACTTTACAGCCAACAATTCAATCAAAGATCAGAGTGACTGTAAGAATACAGGATGTGCCCTGTGAAATGGAGGTGGGCACGGGTTCTGCATTGTCTATCATTGCACACCAGACACTCCAGCAGATTTGTCCTAAGGGGAGGAGGCACAAATTGGAGCCATGTGATGTACTTCTTATGGATTTCCAGGGCAAGCAGGTGCCTGTGCTGGGGATGGGCACCTTTCAAATAGCCTATAAGAACTTCAGAGGGCCAGTACAGGCAGTAGTGGCAAAAGGGCAATTACCAAGCTTACTGAGATTGGAATGGTTTGAACCATTGGGCATCCATATTTCTGGTATTCAACAAATCAGGCATGGATATGTTATGGCTGTAGTGTAAGACGTTTGCAGCAGTGTTTGACAGATCTTTGGGGATTTACACTGGACCACCTATTTAGTAGTCATGCATACTTCGCTAACCGGATAAGCGAAGCTTCTAACCAGCAGACAGAGTTATTCCGTATATACCTATCCGGAATTGGTCTGAGTGACGGGCTTCCCTCTAGTTTTTCACCGGACCAATTTGCAGCATTTTTAAAATCTAAAGTGGAGGCCATCCACCAGGAGCTTCCTCCTTTTTTGAATACAGTGAGTCGAGCTGAGATGTCCAGCGCTCCGTCTTGCCTGGTGACACTTGATCTCTTTCAGCCTGTGATGCCAGATACTGTGGACAAAGCACTTGATCACTGTTGTATCTCCACCTCCTCCCTTGACCCTTCCCAGCCTGGCTAATCAAAGCAGCCAGACCGATAACAACTGAATGGGCTACAGCAATAATTAATGGGTCTTTCCTAGAGGGCAGGGTTCCCTCTGCCCTCAAGGAGACACTCATTAGGCCCATTAGGAAGAAAGCTAATTTGGCGGCGGATGAAATTGATAATTACAGGCCCGTCGCCAACGTTTCTTTCATTAGCAAAGTGGTCGAGAGGGTGGTGGCTGATCAGCTTCAGACTCATTTGGATGAAACAGATGCCCTAGATCTGTTTCAGTCAGGCTTCAGGCCGTGCCACGGTACAGAGATGGCATTGGTCACCCTGTATGATGATCTGTTGAGGGAGGCTGACAGGGGCAAAATATCTCTGTTTGTCCTCCTCGACATCTCGACAGTTTTCAATACTGTCGACCACGGTATCCTCCTGGAGAGGCTCTCCGGGTTGGGAAATGGTGGCAATGCGCCTACATGGCTCTGATCCTTCCTCGGGGAGTGTCCTCAGAGAGTTCAGCTTGGGGAGAGGTTATCGGCCCCATAGACCCTCAGTTGTGGGGTTCCGCAGGGCTCGATCATCTCCCCAATGCTCTTCAACATCTACAGTATATGAGGCCACTGGGTGGGATCATCAGGGGGTGTGGGGCTTCATGTCATCAATATGCTGACGACACTCAGCTCTACAT